GGAGGAGGACCTTTGTTTATAGATGTTGGAGATTGGCCTGTTTTTTCAGTGTAGTCCTGTTTCTCTTACTGTGACTGGCTGGATGTGCTCTCTTTGTCCTCTGGTATGGGAGCTGGCTCGGTGCTCGTCTGCCTGGCTGTGTGTTTCCTGGACGGGGACGCCTTTTACAGCTGCTTTTTGTATCTCAGCTTCTGTCTCCTTGAACCCCAGTCAGCCTCGACAGATTTCCGCTCACACTGAGTCTGGTTCTGCTGGAGGTTTCTTCCTGTTAAAAGGGAGTTTTTCCTCTCCACTGTCGCTACAAGCATGCTTACAGTAGTGTCAGGGATTGCATTCGAGTCAATGAGTCAATGCAATCAACTGGTTTTCCTTAGATAGAAAACTTTGAATCAATTTGACTGGATGATCTGGTTGAACTGTAAAGGGCCTTTAGATGACATGTGTTGTGAACTGGCGCTATAGAAATAAACTGAATTGAATATTACTTTATGAAAGATTGCCAAGACTGAATGAAAGCAAGACTCTGTGACGAGCTGAGTGACACTATCATGCAAGAAGAATGTGGGGGAAAAAAAGGGTTTCCAAAATGTAAAACTGGTAAAAAACAGTTTTTTATAGTACTTATGTTTTTCTTGTTTTGCCTTCTCTGTTTATGCATTGTTTCTCACAGAGCAGTGAGCAGTGGTGAGTAGAGAATCGAAAACTGAACTCAAGTAATATTTGGTAAAGAAAGGATACTCAGGTACTGAGTAACATCTGATATTTAAATTTATGTAATAAAGAGAGACCAAAATGTAAGGTTATTTTAAAGACTAGTAATAATTCAAACAAATGAGTTTAAGCTACATTAGCAATTATAAGGTTCACCAGACATAAATTAAGCTTGTGTACAAATACAAGAAAAGTAATTTTGACATAAACATGAACTGTGTGTCTTTTGCAACAAGCTTGATGGTTATTTAGAACAGTTATGATCGTTAGCTGCCAAATATTTTACTCAAATAAGAATGTTTTTAAAAAACTCTTAAAAGTATATTTAATTATATATATATATATATATATATATATATATATATATANATATATATATATATATATATATATATATATATATATATATATATATATATATACTACATTTTTTTAAACTTAAGTATAACTGAGTAAACGACTCTGAAACAGTGCTCTCCCTCTAATAGCTCATTCTAATACTTCAAAGAAAACATTTTTTTCATCATAATTCAGTGATGAGAAGTTTTCACCTAGACCTGTAGTAGTAGAGCGTAGCCTGTTAAAAGCTGGAATTTTGACATGCATGCGCTTGTTTATCTGTTCATTAAATGTTGAGATCTTCTTGACTCCTCAATCAAGATTTTGTTCTCTAAAAATACGACACTTTTTGTGTATTATTAGCAGCAGGAAAAAGATAGTTTCTAGTTGTTGTTTAAGATTCATCAGGAAGGCTTTTTGTTACGTATCCTTCTGTAAAGTTTGAGCAAGACAATAATGCAAAGTTTTTCTTATTTTGTTTTCTGGAAAAGGCAAGACTAAACAAATGTGAGATGATTGAATGTTACTTGGACTGCTCTGGTTTCAGAATATGTTGTCTGTACATGTGATAATAATGCAAAGCGCTGGATTCACCTGAGGGCAGAGCAGTCAACTATTCATTGCACAACAGCCAAGATGGAAGAAACTGTCAGTGAGTCTTTATTGCCATTAATTTGAAATCCCATCCTATGTTTTTCACTTTTAAGTCTCTTTAACCAAGGAACCCAAGAAAGTATAGCCTTTAAACAGTCGAAGGCTGCAGCTGTGTGGTTGGTCCATCTGTGGCTCTTCTCCAGTGATAAAACCTACTCAGAACCAGGCGGAAACACCATTTGTTAGAGAGAGGCTCCCTGTGTTTACACCTAGGAGCTTTCTCTCTCTGGTTCTTTTTCCTGTAAAGAGATCACTTGGGACAAACTCTTTAAATAACACTTCATAACTTATAAGCATTAAATAACCAGGAGACCTGACAACAGATTTTGATAGAATTTGTAATCTTATTCAGATCAGAGAAGTTGCTTAGAGTTACAGAAGGCAGCTGCTCACCAACCGAGCTCAATTCTTGGGAAGTGGCCACGATTAACAGTTAAAGAAGCATTTTATACATCTCCAGTCTGCCACACCATTACGTCATACACGTTTGTAGATGAGGAGACATCCATGGCTCCAGCCTTATTGAAATATTACACTTTGTTCTTAGCTGAAGGACACCGCTCTCATTCCATTCCCAAATTTTTGCAACATACAGAATGAAGATTATAACTGTATATAGCCGGACTGAGGAACTGTCCTAATTAGATGAACTACTGGGGAAAACATCAGTTCTGACACGCAACAGGCAGCTAATATTAAGGCGTAATAAACTCATCAATGATAATCATCAATCATCATCAATGATAATTATCCTACCAATTAAAAAAATGGGTTCTGTTAAATGTTAAATTTATAAGAAAAACAATTTAAACTGGGAATAGTGGGACAATGAAACCTGATGTCACTTTTGTAGTATTTTTGTTTATTTCCAACTGCCAAATAAAAAAGAAAAACGGCTGCAAAATAGTAAATCAGGCATAACATTTCTTCATTGCTTGGTTAGAATAAAGAAGCTTGTCTTTTAGAGACGGACACCATGATTCTGGACACTGATATTAAAGCTTTGACTGATAAAATATCAGCAGAATCATCTATACTTTTATAACTATTACTCTTAATAGTACCGTGTTGTGTGGAATATTAGAAAACACTTCAAATACACAGATAACAATGGTCAAGAAAAAATAGGTATAGAGGTGGGTAGTAACTAGTTACATTTAATTGAGTAACCTTTAGAGAAATATACTTTTAGGAGTAATGTTACTCTACTATGCTTATTATTTTTACTTTAATAATATTCTTGTGAAAGTTTCCCTACTCTTGGGTAAAAATTCTGATTCTGAGATCAGGTAAATATAAAATAAATATTAGATATTGTACAGTAGCTGGAGATTTTTTTTTTTTATCCTATACTAACATTTAAATGAAGTGTCTATTGTCTACTGTAAGGATTATTTTTACAGGTTTATGTTGAAGCAGTATATTTAAAAAAAAGTTTCATCTGTTTGTATTTATTTTGTAATCATGTTATTTATTTTTATTTTGATACTATTTTATACTTGAAATGCATATATTGTTGCATAATCCTCTCTCATTACATACTTTTACACAATAAATCGGATGTTAGGAGCCAAAATTGACTCAGCATTTGAGTAGCCATTTTACCAAGTACCATTAATTATTAGGTGGTTCATTTCTCCAAGGCCTACTTTTCACTTTCACTTGAGTAAAAAAAAAATTTATGTTTTACTTCTCTTACTTGAGTAACATTTTTGGGTATGCTACCAAAAACTGGTATGAGGACAACTGTCCGACTTATCACTAACCAGCGGGTTATATAAACTTTAAAGGTAAACATTAAAAAAAAAGAATAAAATGATAAATCAGAAGATGGGAAACTTGTTACAGCAGCGACGCTGCTGACATCCCTCCATCTCCATTATTGTAGCATCTGCCACTCTAAGATGACGTTGTTATGATCATGTTGGCTTTAGAGCTGCTGGATAGAAATAATGGAGTGGAGTACTTTTATCAACTTCTTTATTTCAGTAATGTTGGATGCAGGAACATATGATGCGATTCTCTTCTTTCTGCAGATGTCAGACTGATTTCCGATACCAATATCAGATCAGGACATCTCTAGATGCTGTGTTCACGGCACATTTTGTGGAAAATGTTTACTAGAATTTGTTGTCTTTGTCTTTTTGTGGTGCCTTAATGTTCTCCTGTAAATCTCTGGGCTCGTTCATAAAGCAGACCAGTTGAATCTGTTTTTGATATAAATCTAGAGAAGAACTGGTTATACTGGATTTTACTGCGGCCAATCAGATTAAAATGTTGCTTCGTACTTATTAACTCGGCCAAGCACGTAACTTGAATAGTTATAAAAAGATTTTAATGTCAGTTTTACCAAAGGTAAAGGTAACAATCCGTACAATTTTTGTGATGATCCGGATCACCATCTGGAGTCTGTGAGTACAGGTATTAATTTAAGGTGGAAGTCAAATAGCTACTTGGTGAGGGGCTGCGCTCTGAGTGCTTTTCAATTTTTTATTATTTTTTTAAAGATTGAGTTATTTGTTTGGTCTAGCTTACTTCCTGTTTTTCTTGCTGTGATTACTGAGGTCCAGTCCAGACTTTCATTCTGAACCCAATCAGTTCACTGTTCATGTGAAAAATAGTGAGATAGTTTCCAACATAATGCCGGCCACTCTGTGACCTGAAAAATAATTTTGCATAAATGACTGACATGATCTAGAGCTGCAGAGGAATGACTCGATTTATTTTTATGCAAAAGTTAAAAAGGTCCAAGTTCTTGTTGATTTTGTGTTTGATGTGTAAGACCACATTTCTGCTGACCTGAGTTTACTAGACAAAAGGAAAAATGAGGACAGAACAGAGAGAGTGGAGGAAAGAAGATGCAAGGAAGGAAACTGGATATTAACAAAGTTATAAATTCATAGATGCAGTGTTTGGAAAGTACTTGAGAAATACCAAAAAAGTATCCGTATTATATTGCCATCAACTCCTCCCTCATTCCTCCACTCATGGAATAAACACAAGACTTTCTTGAACTTTAACTTGCTCTTCATGGGATGCTCTGTGTCAAGTCATTTTATGGAAATGTGGCTTTGTGATTGTATTTAATGATATAATAAAATATATAATAATTAGGTATAAGTGTCTGAATGGAGCTTATCGTAGGTTCTGTGCTTCTCCTGTTCATTCACAACCAATAACCTTTAAATGCACTGATATTCAGCATCTAATGTCCTTTTATAGAAATATTGTGTTTTAACTCCAGAGCTGACAATCTGAGTCCAACATGTTAACCCCTTTAAAACTTTCTTTGTCAGCTTTGATGTGGAGAATGGCCCGTCTACAGGCTGCAGCCCTCTGGACCCCCAGGCTTCTCCAGGCTCAGGTCTGGTCCTCCACACCAATTTCCCAGGACATAACCAGCGCCGGGAGTCCTTCCTCTATCGCTCTGACAGCGACTATGAGCTTTCCCCCAAGTCCATGTCACGAAACTCCTCCATCGCCTCTGAACTGTAAGTTGCAAAACTATCAAATATACAATTTAAATGCAAACATAATCGATTGTTAAAAAAATCTAAAAGAGACTAAAATTTTAGTACTAATATTTAGTGACTCTTTTCACTACTGCTTAGTTTTAGCATTGGATTCCATATGTTTTTCTAAAGTGCATTTAACCACAAAACTACAAAGTAACTCAACTCTGCAAAATGAATTTAACGCCAGCTACAGAGATCATAGTATTCATTCATATATAGATATTCTCTACAGCTGACAGCTTCAATTCTCCTATTTTTTTCCCCCCAAGGTTTAGAAGTGCATTTATGAGATCTTTGAGCATTCATCCAGCATTTGTGAGAGAAGGTCCAGCTTTCAGTCTGCTTTCCCATTCACTCTAAATAGTTCTTTCAGTTTCAGGTCAGGGCTCTGTAGGTCAGCCTAGTTCCTCCTTATCAAACATCGTCATCAATGTCAGTATGGTTTTCCCTTGTTAGTGCACGTGTTAGTGCAGGCCAGTTGACAGCCTCAGCTATGGGCCCCCTAAATAACTAAGGTCTATATCAATCACTTTTTACATATTTATTAAAACCATGCATAAAAATCTACATATTTAAATAACTTGTAGCAAGAAAGATTTTGATTACCAAGAGATAAATAAATATTTATTTAAATGGCCTGTACTTATATAGCGCTTTTTCAAGTCAGAGGACTTGAGCAAAGCGCTTTACACTACATTCAGTCATTCACTCACGCTGATGGTGGCAAACTAAATTGTAGCCACAGCAGCCGTGGGGCTCACTGACAGAAGCAAGGCTGCCGTACACTGGCGCCACTGGGCGGTGTGTCCACCATCAGTAGGCAATGCGGTTGAAGCGCCTTGCTCAAGGACACAATGGCATTGAAAGCCAGAGTTTAAACCAACAACCCTCCGGTTTAAAGACAAACTCTTTCATCCGACGGCACTGTTGCCCCATTTGAGCAAGTTGAACAAATATTTGATCCACGCTAAGGATTTTATATCAATTATTAATTGACTAATATTATAAATAAAATAAATATTGAATTAAATATATATTTTAATTTGATACATGCATTGCAAGTAACATTGAAATTTTCACATTCACAAATAATTATTTCTACTTTTTAATGTGCTGAAAATGTGGCTTATGGCTTTCCATACTTGCTCCAGTTTCAATTGATACATATTATAGATTTCTCTTTGTGTGACTAGTGTAAATATGAGCAGAAGATATTTTGCCTTTCAGGTGAGCTTTTAGAGTAGGATTGTCTATTTATCGCCTTCACTGCTGTATCTGTGATCATGATGTTGGAGTGGTGGACACATCTGGTAGTCAGTCGGTTTATATTGAATTAGAAATAGAGCAGCCTTTTAACAAAGCCTCTGGAGCTTTCCTAACTCTAACTCCATTTAGCAAAGATAAACAAAAAAATCCCTGACAATAACTGTTGGATTTTTTTAGCACCAGAGGAGTGCTAAAAAACCAAGAACACTGCCTGCACAGAAAGTGGTCTGCAGCTCAGAGCGATTATAGCTTTGGGCGCATTCTTCTGGCGTGAGTAGCCTACAGTTTCTTTGCAAAAGTTATGGAGTCCCTGCCTGACCAGGGCCAGAGGGGAAAATTCCTTATTTTCCTGTCTACTTGAAGTTTGGTGAGCCTTTGTGGTCTTATATATTTTATTGGAGCAGCTTTACAACAACTCTAGAGCAGCCGCATCTGGGACCGAACCATTTGGTCGGTCAGGTGAGGATACTTCCCCACTGCTGCAGTGGCAAGTTGGAGGAGAATGATGGTAGTGCACAAAAGGCACAGGAAGTAAGAAAGTAGAAGATATTCGTTTAAAACTGCTTGTTTATTTTACAGTTATTGGTAAAAAGACAAATTCCAGGGATCAGAATGAAAAATACAATGAAATCTTCAGCTTCAGGGTCTCCTAGGCCAGATTAACCAACATAAACTCCACTCTAACTAAAAATAAAAGTAAATTGTCTCTGCAGGGAAAACAAACAAAATAAATTACTGAGCTCCCTGTCTAACCACTTCATAGGAGAAAAGAGATTGAGCACTCAGAGTTCGTCTGCCTGGCTGTGTGTTGATGAGGCCGCCTTTTACAGCTGCTTTTTGTATCTCTGCTTCTGTCTCCTTGAACCCCAGTCAGCCTCGGCAGATGGCCGCTCTCACTGAGCCTGCTTCTGCTGGAGGTTTCTTCCTGTTAAAAGGGAGTTTTTCTTCTCCACTGTTGCTACAAGCTTGCTTAGTGTGAGGGATTGCATTCGGAAGAACTTGGCATTTACCCCCAGATTGCACATCCTCCTTCAACCCCTATGCCCGCTCACATATGTCCTGCGGAGCACTTGCACGGTCATGTTAATCAGAACGGTTCCACATCCACCGCTACTCTTCCGCACGTCATCGTCCATGTATGTCTTCTCCATCCTTCACCATCAAAATACAGAGTCAAGCTATTTTTTGCTCCGCTTCGGTCTGTTGGAAGCCGTCTAGGTCAAGATCTACAATTGCTATCGTATCAAACAGGAAAAAGAACGTTGAGAAGATCCGGTTTGTCACCGAAAAACAGGGTGACTACAAATCAGGAATAACTAATTTTGTATATTCCCCAAAAAGAAAGCAGTTTGATTGGATGTACACTATTGGTACTTCAGAATACCAGGAACCAGATTTTTCATCTCAATCAAAATATTTATTATATGCAGAAAGTTATATAAAATCCAGCCAAACCAACTTCCAAGAGCGTATCTCACATCTTAAAAAGAAGCTTCTTATTACAGGCATGGATGAAGAGCTGCTGAGTTTTGAAGTAGAGAGCAAACCAATCCTAGTTATCCCCTCTACAATGATCCACAGGAATAAGAATATTTTGGACAGAAACTGTGTGTGTGATTGATGCTGATGGTGAGTTTTAATTATGTCATAATAGGAGGAACCGCAGAGGCTGTAGGTGTTGGGCGGTCTGGAATGGATCGGGGCGTTTACAGAGGATGTGGGTTTTCAGGGTTAGGGAGTGAACTTCATGCAACGGCTGATGAGTTGCACCTAATCTGAAACAGAGGATAAAAGAGCTGGCTTATATCTTACATCAGTCCTCGAGGGCTGCTTCCCTGCAGGTTTTAGAGGTTTCCCTGCATCCACACAGATGATTCTGATGAATTCAGTTTAGCAAAATCCTGTGAATCAATTGTCAATGAAAATCAGCTGTGTTGAAGCAAGGAAACATCTAAAACCTCCAAGACAGCGGCCCTCGAGGGCAAAGTTTGGACACGTCCGCTAGAGCTCAGTGACACAAAGTCATCCGGACAAAGAAAGTAACCCTCCCTAGACTGTTGCACCATAGATAAAAGCAAAAAGTTAATATAAACGTTTTTGTTTGCTGAAAAAAATAAAGCATTTACTTTCAGTGGAACTGAGATGTCATGACTAATCTCTGAAGGAAAAGTCCCTACAAATAATCCACCCTCCAACCAACTTTGCACCTATATAGCAGTCAAGTAGGAACATTGCTCCATGTGACCAACCGCAGGCTGGATCATCAAATTGCCAGATGAAGAGAAACAATCCATTATTTTTTAGAGAACTTATCTGCTTTAGATTCCACTAGAACATATGCACCACTGCAAATAACATTTGCATGAAACTCTGTTATAGTGTTGCACCAATGCCATTTTTTGGCCCTGATACCTGGCTGTGCAGTATTGGCCGATACCATACTGATACCATCTCTTTGAAATTGATATGTGTGTGTATATATGAAGCACTGCAGACTCCTTGAATGTAGAGTAATTGGCAGTATGGCTTTGTCAAGCTGCTGCCTACCTTTGTGAAGCAGGAAAAAGACTAATCCAAAGTGAATCCAGTAGAACTTTTTATTTGCGTACCTGGAATGGGTGACAACAGTTGAATAAACTTTTAGCTCTTGGTGCGCTATTTGTTGGTACTCACCGATACTGATACCACTATTTTAGTGCTGGATCAGGGCCCCGCCCGACACTGGTATCGGTATCGGTGCAACACTACTCTGTTATATAAGGTCTGTATGCAGCTGCATAACCATGGAGTTCCCAATGCTCTCTAGGTTAGGTTCCTGAGCCGCACAAAATCAGGCGGATTGGTGTCGACTCTGGAGACAATTCTCTTAACCTGTGCCTCTGTTGACTCAACTTAATGATTCCATTGTCTTATATATAAATCTATACCTATATATAGATATATGTATATGAGGGTTTTATACCAAGGAAAATATAAAATTTCTGACTTCACATAACACGATGGGAGGGACAGCACCTCTCTGGATGTTAGTGAGCGACATTCAGCAGGTTTTGCAAACATAAAAGCTGGATTCTATACTGGAGTGAATGGTACACCTGCATGTAGTGCTTATACGGCTGTAATCCTTTCCAACCCCAGTCATACAGTGCAATCAGCTGTTGAAGTTGCTAATTTTACAGATTCAACTTTATTGATGTTACTACAGGATTCCATCCAAAACACAGGATGGTAAAACATGCAATAGTGCAAATTCCTTGGCACTAGTCTCCTTAAACTATATCTGCAGCCTGCTGAGAGCTGAGTGAATAAAAGTTGAATAAAAGTCAGATTGACTAGTCACAGGCAATATGAAGTATTAGTTTCTAAGACATCATTAAATCATCTTAAGAGGACCTTTATAAGACCATAGGAGTAATTTTTTTAAAAATTGTCTGAAGCTAAAAGAGAAACTTCTTCAAAAGCTTAGAAAAAACCAGCAGAATTGCCTCGGTTTTCACATCTTTAATGACATAAGCTATGTATATTTACCGTAATACAGCTTATTAACTGTAGGGGTCAAAGTGAGCCTTATATGGAGCGGGTACCAAAAAAATAATACAAATACCAATACTTTCAAATACGTTTGTTGACGAAAATATGACCATACAAATGGATGAAACCTGTTTTCATTTATTTAATCTATCAATAGCTCACCATTTTATTTACTGTTATGTTCAACATTCACCATGCTAAAGATTAATCTTTAGTTACCTGCTAATATTACCTTTTACACTGAATATGTGAAATATTACATTGTCTGGATGTGGCTGTGTGACACGGAAACTAAAGGAGGACTTTTTTTTTTTAATGCAACTTTACATTTGATGTAAGGTGGCATCAAATGTAATTAAAAAATTTTTTTCTCATTCAAAGAGCTAAAAACTTGGCTTTACATCTATTTGTGTGACGTATTTAGTAATAACTGACAAGCTTTAAATGGGCCTAAAAAAGTTAAACAGCTTTAAATTTGCCTTTTACGATGTTGCAATTGTTGATGTGGGGTTTGATATGAATATCAGGGGCAAACATGCATCATTTATTAGCAATCTGTATCTTATGCAGGCCGGTGTGTGTGTGTGTGCGTGTGTATATGTGTGTATTATGGGGAGGTGTTCCTGTGGTTCTAATTGACGTCAGCACGCCTGTATGTGGCTTCTGTTGACTTCCTGTTGAAGCAGATGGACTGAGTTTTCACTTCCTTCTTCAGAACCGCAGCACATCAGGTGCTCATGAGTTTGACTGCAAGAGATTATGCATAAGTGTGTGTCAGTTTGTGTTAAAGAATGTACCTCATAAAACAACACCGTGTTTTGCAGTTCGACCTATTTCTCTGTGATTATTAGTGTTATCACTGCAGCTTGACCCGTACTTTATTTGTGTCTGCACTTTTTTTCTTGCTTTCACGTGTTATTGAACATGACTGGAAACAGCAATTTAGCCTCAGATGCCCCGACTTAAAGGTCCTTGTATCAGACTATGTTAACGCTCCAAAACTTTAAAAAAAAAATCTATGAATGAACCTTATGGTTAAATTGTCTTCTCAATATTTTTACCATAAACACTGTGTTTTTTGTATCCTCTTAGCTTTATATTGGTGCAAGTGCTCAAGCTTGCACGAGTGCCCCTTCTCCAGAAACCTTAAAAAAAACCGTTTAGTTTAGTTTGCGTTAAACTGTAAATAAACTCTTTGGTTTAGTTTAAAATGTATTCTCTCTGTACGGACTGTAGCTCACATATTTTAGTTTAGTTTTGTAGTCTAACTAGTTTCAGTTTTTTTCATTCTGTTTACAATATATACTTTAAATTAAGTTTATTCTATACTTTGCCTTTCATTCAAAGGTGAAAAAACCTAAACCTTTCGGTATTAGAATATTTAAAATAGTTTCTTTCCTTTATTTTAGCTAAAAAACATTATGCAGGTTTTTTCATTTTTTCAAAGAAATAATTCAGCTCTATAAAATATTGTTTACTATTTTCCTTTGGTTTTACTCCAAATCATAATTTACATCCTAACATACCTTTCCAATTTACAGCTCATATTAATAATAATTCAGGTTTTCTATCTAAGGAAACTGAGCTGATTCCATTAGGTGACTTTGTTGGATTTGCTATTTCTTCAGCATGTACTGTAGAAACAGTAGATATTTGATGGTAAACTTTACTACAATCCCTCATATTGAGCATGCATGCAGCAACAGTGGAGAGGAAAAGTTCCCTTTCAACAGGGAGAATCTTTCAGCAGAACCAGTCTCAGTGTGAGAGACCTTCTGTTAGAGGCCTACTGCAGGTTCAATGAGACAAAATCAGATACACATTATATACATATTATAAATGCTTTCAAAGGTAGAAAAAGGACAGAAACAGTTAAGCAGGTCTGAGCCACTTGTTCAAAGGATGAAAGAGAGTACATACAGTTAATCACAGTAAAAGCTAAGCCCATAGTTATAGTACAGTAGGAAAGGTTTACAAGTTCCCCTTCAGACTGAAAGCAGGCCGAATTGGCCCCATTTTCCAGCACACTTCCAGTTTCCAGCCGCTGGAGCTATCCCCCTCTTTCTGCAACTTTTACAGCAACTCCATCCACTTATTAAAACACAGGGTATTCCAGGTGTACAGTCTAGCAGCTTAGGGTTGCGGCTTCACTGATAACGTCATCGTGGGGCATTAAATTACCCCCAAGGAACTGTCGGTTATCAGCAAAGGCCTTGTCAGGGACCCATCGTTGAAATAGGGGAATTTTTAAACTAAATACTACTGAATGTCTAGGAGAGAAACAGGCCTAAACACTCCAAGAAAGGTCCAACTCTACTGTCTAGAATTGAAGGTGATGATTGCAGTGGTCCAGTTCATGCATTCCACCAGGATGTGCCATGGCCAAGGAGGGCGCTTGGACAGATGAAGCTGCAATACAGGAAAAAAGGAAGAGGGAACATGCAGTTGAAAGTTAGGCTAACAAATAAACCAAAATTTGAGAGAGAAGTAGAATGAAGCAAAATGATGAAAAAGTTGTCCCTATGTCCTCCAGCAGTCCAAGCCTATGACAGCATAACTATAGAGATACAGTAGCTCAGGATACCCTGAGCCACTATAATTATAAGGTTTGTGAAAAAAGAAGGTTTTAAGTCTTGGCTTAGAAGTAGACAGGGTGTCGGCCTCATGAACTAAAAGTGGTTGGTTCCACAGGAGAGGAGCCTTATACTAAAAGATCTGCCTCCCAATCTACTTTTAGAAAATTTTCTTTACCATTTGTAAATCTGCAGATTGAGAATAAAATGCGCTTTTAGAAACACAAGAGACAATCAGATCTTGGACATAAGTTAAAGTTTGGTTATTTCACTTTGGATTCAACAACCAATAATGGAAAGTTAAAATACTAACTTTATATTTATAATTCAGTTAATTTTATGGTATATTAAATAAAGTAGCCTTTTCTTTTTTATTTAACACTATCTTTTATCTGTCGCTTAGACACCCCACGACACATAAACTTCCTATCTGCTTAAAGTCATTCAGTTTTTCAGATCTCAGACCACATCCTAACTGCAGTGAACCAGCATAAAACACAAACAACTTAACCAAACATTCNCTGTGTGACACGGAAACTAAAGGAGGACTTTTTTTTTTTAATGCAACTTTACATTTGATGTAAGGTGGCATCAAATGTAATTAAAAAATTTTTTTTTTTAGAACTACATTTGTTAAATTTAAACAGTTAATTGATTAGATTAAATTTGTGCTCAAACTGTTTGACTTGCTCCACTACCTGATTTTATCTTTTTTTATCTTTACATTTTCCTTATTTCTTACTGTTTGATTCATGTAAAGCTCTTTAAATTGTCTTCATACTGATTTGCGATATATAAATAAATTAGCCTTGCTTTGCTCTAAAGTATTTATTACTTGGTAATCGATAATTAAACTGATAAATAGATTAAATACTTTATTACTGATGGGACTGTTGGGAGCCTGTGTTACCTGCAAATAACTAAACTTCATTGCCGTAAAGATATGTTATCAGGGTTACTGTTGGTATTTAATGCCTCACTTTCTAAATCTATCTTGATATACTTTGTTTATTCCATCAGATCATTTCTCTTACTGTTTTTCTCCCTCTGCAGACATGGTGATGACCTGATTGTGACTCCATTTGCTCAGGTAAACACCTCATTTTCTGCTCTCTGGAATCTTTTTATCTCTAACCCTATCGGTGAATAATAACATGGTTACTGAACCATGATCTACAGCCAGATAAAATAATCATTTTGGGGCTGTGCGATGCATAAATACGACTGCTAAGCTAACATGCGTAAAGGATACCACTGATCACCTCTTTCACTTCCTTTGTAGGTTTTGGCCAGCCTTCGAAGTGTTAGGAATAACTTCACGGTTCTGACTAATGTCCAGTGTGCCTCAAGCAAGTGAGTACCACAAAAACCAAGATTCTTCTCTTCATGTGGCCTTTTTGGTTTTTATTTCGGTTTTGAGAATACATTGGCAATTACTAATAACATTACAAATATTGCCTTTAGCAAGAGCTGTCTGAAATGGAGTCCAGTATTAATACATTTTTATTATCCTTCATAAACATGCAGAGAAATGTAAGTATTTAAAAATAATTGTTGTATTATTTTATAAACCAGAGCAAAGGGAAATTGGAAACCCAGTTGTAGTTCCCTCCCTTTTCCACATGGTGTCAGCATTGAGCTATATATTGCTGTGTGACATCATGCCTGTTTTCACCACTCAGATTAGATGCTAACTACTGCAAAAGTCAAACCAACAGCATCCACCATTCAGACAAATAAAGGCAAACATTTAAATCATCAGCAAAGACTTTTAATGTCTCATTTTTGCACAGTAAAAGGTCCTTTTCCCCCAAAGTTTCTTGAGATGGTAGTGATAGAAAATCAGCTGCTCTATATTAATTTTTATTGACAAAAAAAACAAAGAGGAAAAACAACATTAACAGATCCATATCTTCATAAAACATGTATATGAGCATGTTGTATTTTATTACCTTAATGGTTTATCGTTTATGTTCGTTAGGTTTTATTTCTAAAGAAGCCAAGAGCAGTGTGCTATAGCAAAGGCTGGATTTAGAGCTGCTGAGAAGTTCAGACTACCTGAAGGTTGTCTGACCTACATACAGCTCTGACTCTCCTGCATAGGCGGCAGTGAATAGTGAGACTTAAGGGTGTGTGGACAGACATTTGCAAATATGTTAATATGCACACTCAGTATATTTATTGAACTGTTCAGTTGTGATTATAATAGACATGCATGGTCACTTTTCTTTAAATGTATTTTCCCTACTTGTTATTCAAGTGGATTATTATCTATGTTTATAAGCAGCTATTTTACCAACACTCACACCCTTGTCACTTTATTCCAGGCTTTTTTTTTTTTAACTAATTCTGCTATAATCCTGCAGAATTTTCCCCTGAATGTGAAAATCAACTAGAACATGTTTAAAAATCTAAATATCAGAATGGTTCATATAGCAAAGGGTTCGGTCCAAAGAGCAACCAACTTCAAAATATAGCGTACATTAAGCTTTTTTTCTTCTACGCCTTTATTTACATTCTCTTCATATTTCCTCTTTTGATTGTACTGCTTTTGTTTTCAAGTAATTCAAAATCTTATGAAAACTACTTGAACCAAACAATCATCTTGAAAAGATTTCAAACTGTTAACGAGAAAAAAAACTTTGACAAGGACATATACAGTTCAGTAAATTCTAAAAATTTCTTTCTGATCTCACAAAAAAAAAATGTTGTCTTTAAATTTGAAATGCTGTCTTGCTTCTTAAAAGTCAAGTAATAATCCTTGCATACGTCTGCTGAATGTGTGCAAGAACACAGGACAGGATGGACCTGATATCACTCTCCCCTGCTTTAGCATCGTAGTCATTTAGAAAATAATATTTACATTTCTTAACCCTTCAATAATTCATGGCCCTCAGTAGATATTTTTACTGTATTGTTTTTTTTTTTTATGTAACTGATGCTTACGCAGCTAAGCTAAATAGTCAATGGCAGATGCTCTGTCTGATTAAATACAATCATATGTATAAGTTAGGGATTATGAAAACAGGGTATGAAGAAATGGATATATGCATGGAAATCATAGAGTATCAGACCTTTCCTGATGGGGTTCGGGTGAAAATTTTATAGTTTACTGTAGATGCAAATGGAATCTTTACACAAGATGCATGAATTTTCTATTTAAAAATATCTAAGCAATTAGAACGTACTGTAAAGTGTCTGAATTAGAGCTTACAGAAAACTAACGGTACATCTTTTATAGCCGGCTTAACGGATGACAATACTAGAAAAACTTGAAGCATGGCTCTATTAGAAATATCTGCTTCGTCATACTGTTTTTAAGCACTCTATGAAATCAACATCATAAAATCAATTATTTTAATATATACGGCTATATTTCTCATTATTTATGATTATTATTATTATTAAAGACAGAGGTTTGCTCAAAGATTATAATGATAATTTATTTTCTAAAATTAATTCCTAAAAATCAATTTATATAACTAAAGATCCATTTAAAAAAATGCTTGTTCTAGTGTCCCTATAGTAGTTGTGAACTACTATTATTTTATTAATTTCATGTGGAATGTTGTTATCTTACTACTATCTTTCATAATTACACAGCCATGGAATTCAGCTAACAGATAAACAACCTGTTATATAATACCAGCAATCCAATTTGAGATCAGACCTAATTAGATCAGATCGAAAATAATCGATTCTAAAAAATGAGAATCTGAATCTAATTGATTCTTAATTTGAGTTCCTATCCAGCCTTACTGTACTTTTGACAAGCTAATGACCAGGATATTTCTTAAACTTATCAGCCTAACTGACTTGACTCTTTATCAAAATGATGACGTCCATTTGAAATGAAAAATAAAAATGTATGTCTAGATAAATCATAAAATGTGTGTTTTATTACATCAAATTTCTTTCTCCAAATTGTGTTTAACCAGGAGGTCTCCAGCTGCAACAGCTCAGCCTCCCATCACCAGAGTTTGTCTGCCAGGTAAGAAATGTCTGGCTTCTTTTAAGGGTTTACTAATCTGGTTTGCATCCATCTTGGATGATCTTCCACAAATTAGTTCTTCTAGTTAGAGTCCAAACATCCCTCACTCCTTCCTTCATCTTGTTTTTCTTTTTTTTTATCTTGAACTCGCCTACGTGCCGACTTTCACTTTTAGCCATCTGTCTGCAGTCCCTACACTGTGGTCTAGACTGGTTTGTCATCAAACTCATTAACATTGTTCAAAGATTATTTTTTTTTACTTACTGCAGAAATTAAAAAAAAAATAAAAAGCCTTTGCACATGCAATCTGCCATGCACACAGCTGGGTGTGTTACGGCAATCCGCTCTAAGATAACAGAAAAACTCCCTGTTCGTCTTTCATCACGTTTTACTTCAAGCAATTGTGTAAAAGTTTACACTCTGTGGTGTGTGCACTTGTACGTCTTAATTAGTGAGGCATGTGAGAGTATATTCAAGCACAAATGACTTTCTGATCACTATAACGTCGTATTGGTGTTTGTGGAAAACACATTTTTTAAAAAATCCCTACTTTTTTTTGTCTGTCTTTGCCTAAAGCCATTCTGATCAAAGCAAGCACATATATTGCAGATTTTTTCTTTTATAATCAAATCAAGTTATTATTTTCAACCCTTAATGCATTCTCCATACCTCCAATTTCGGCATTAAAGTAGATTATATAACTTGCCACCTCTGGTATAACACAATTAGTTAACATTAGGCCTTTATTGTATTTTTATGCAAAGAAAAATGAATCACATTCTCCGATGTGATGCTGAAATGAAAATAAAAACATGACCTTTGACTTATCTCCAAAGTAGCTAAGAAATTTGGGTTTCTGTTACTGTTTAGGTTGTGTTTCTGCTTAAAATTGAATGACGACAATAAGTCTGACATTTCCATCCAACATCGAAGTGAGTGGGATGCAGTTACTGTTGGTATTACTAAAGGGTGTGACTAGTTTCAGTTTGATTTAGTTAGTTGCTCATCAATAAAGGTTTACAGAGCATTTAAACTATTAGATGACTATCATCTAAATTTCTTGAGAAGAGCCTGACTGCAACCATGTCTGTACATCGTTTGGTTTGTTAACAATTTACAGAAAACTTATTTTATAACCAAAAATACTGATAATGATTGAATATTACAGCTGATCTCAGAGATTACGTCCTTACAGCAAGCAGAAAAAAAAAATTCTGAAAATTGTCTTCACTCATCAAGATGGCAGTTTTTTTTTTTTTATAAAGAAATACTTCAATTCAATTCAATTCAGTTTATTTATATAGCGCCAAATTCACAACACGTCATCTCAAGGCACTTTATAGTTCAACCAGATCATACAGTCAGATTGATACAAAGTTTTCTATCTAAGGAAAACCAGTTGATTGCATTGACTCATTGACTCAAATACAATCCCTCACACTAAGCATGCTTGTAGCGACAGTGGAGAGGAAAAACTTCACCAATGCTTTTTATTTATATAAATACTTAAGGTCGTGGAGATATCATATTTAAATGTCAAATCATTCTGGTTTAAACATGTATATAAATCTATTCTTTATTATTCTTTATTCTATATTGTCCCAAAAGTTAGGAAATTTCTATTTAAAAAAAATCCTGTTTAAAATCTGTGTTTTCTTTTTTCGTTATCTTCTGCAGGCCAGTTAGTTATACGTCAGCCTGAACACCTAAATTCGGCCAATCATATATCAACGGTCATCTGTCAATCAAATATTTTCAGTCATAGCATCTTGATTCATATGTCGCAGCTAATATACGCAACGATTGAAAGCTAACAGAACTGGCAGCGTTGCGAGGCAAGGGCTCAAACATGGACGGCTGGAAGCCTTCTACACCAAACCAAGCTTCTGCCGCCCTGGCGTCCTCTTCCACAACATCTTCGTCCCCGCTTTCCTCCTCTACATAAAAAATGTATGATGGAGGAGACTCTTTCACGACCTCCGACACTAAACTCTCCTCCTCTTGCATGTTTCTGCTGTCCATAGCGTTCCTTGACAGTCTCGTTTCTAAGTCCTACTTGGAATTTCCCATTGGGAACCTACTAGCACTAAGTTGCTAAGTGGCAATTAAACTTGCTTACGAACCTTCTGCCACAACAATCCCGCCCCCTTGATAAACAACCAATCACATTCGCTTTATTCACTCGTGTTAAGTCGTGCACCACTCAGGAGAATTCGGAAATGCAACCTTTGGAACAGTCGTTTCCCTACAACTTTAACCATCTAACATTATGAGCTACAAAGGAAATTTTCATTTTTTTTAAGAAGAAGATAAAAAAAAAAAAAAACTTCATAAGATAAGTAACTGTTGACACACACATCGGTGTCTCTGGTCGCTTCAGGCCCTGAGCTTTAACGTTTTGTACCTTGAGGTCAGGACATGTAAAAAAAAAAAAGCAAGAACAGTAGACTTGTTGATTTGTAGAGAACTAGATGATACACAGTGAAACTGAAAACGGGGAGCATTTTAATCAGCAAACGACATGTTTTCAAACAAAAACCCCAATTAGGTCAATTAAGACAAAAAAGTAAGTGAAACGGCTGCAATGGGAGTTAGTTCTGTTATTATGTTCTCACCCTCATGCATTTTTCTCTTTTTAGGTATAATTTCAGTAAACTGGGTCAAAAAAATTTTAAACATTTTTTTTCTCATTCAAAGAGCTAAAAACTTGGCTTTACATCTATTTGTGTGACGTATTTAGTAATAACTGACAAGCTTTAAATGGGCCTAAAAAAGTTAAACAGCTTTAAATTTGCCTTTTACGATGTTGCAATTGTTGATGTGGGGTTTGATATGAATATCAGGGGCAAACATGCATCATTTATTAGCAATCTGTATCTTATGCAGGCCGGTGTGTGTGTGTGTGCGTGTGTATATGTGTGTATTATGGGGAGGTGTTCCTGTGGTTCTAATTGACGTCAGCACGCCTGTATGTGGCTTCTGTTGACTTCCTGTTGAAGCAGATGGACTGAGTTTTCACTTCCTTCTTCAGAACCGCAGCACATCAGGTGCTCATGAGTTTGACTGCAAGAGATTATGCATAAGTGTGTGTCAGTTTGTGTTAAAGAATGTACCTCATAAAACAACACCGTGTTTTGCAGTTCGACCTATTTCTCTGTGATTATTAGTGTTATCACTGCAGCTTGACCCGTACTTTATTTGTGTCTGCACTTTTTTTCTTGCTTTCACGTGTTATTGAACATGACTGGAAACAGCAATTTAGCCTCAGATGCCCCGACTTAAAGGTCCTTGTATCAGACTATGTTAACGCTCCAAAACTTTAAAAAAAAAATCTATGAATGAACCTTATGGTTAAATTGTCTTCTCAATATTTTTACCATAAACACTGTGTTTTTTGTATCCTCTTAGCTTTATATTGGTGCAAGTGCTCAAGCTTGCACGAGTGCCCCTTCTCCAGAAACCTTAAAAAAAACCGTTTAGTTTAGTTTGCGTTAAACTGTAAATAAACTCTTTGGTTTAGTTTAAAATGTATTCTCTCTGTACGGACTGTAGCTCACATATTTTAGTTTAGTTTTGTAGTCTAACTAGTTTCAGTTTTTTTCATTCTGTTTACAATATATACTTTAAATTAAGTTTATTCTATACTTTGCCTTTCATTCAAAGGTGAAAAAACCTAAACCTTTCGGTATTAGAATATTTAAAATAGTTTCTTTCCTTTATTTTAGCTAAAAAACATTATGCAGGTTTTTTCATTTTTTCAAAGAAATAATTCAGCTCTATAAAATATTGTTTACTATTTTCCTTTGGTTTTACTCCAAATCATAATTTACATCCTAACATACCTTTCCAATTTACAGCTCATATTAATAATAATTCAGGTTTTCTATCTAAGGAAACTGAGCTGATTCCATTAGGTGACTTTGTTGGATTTGCTATTTCTTCAGCATGTACTGTAGAAACAGTAGATATTTGATGGTAAACTTTACTACAATCCCTCATATTGAGCATGCATGCAGCAACAGTGGAGAGGAAAAGTTCCCTTTCAACAGGGAGAATCTTTCAGCAGAACCAGTCTCAGTGTGAGAGACCTTCTGTTAGAGGCCTACTGCAGGTTCAATGAGACAAAATCAGATACACATTATATACATATTATAAATGCTTTCAAAGGTAGAAAAAGGACAGAAACAGTTAAGCAGGTCTGAGCCACTTGTTCAAAGGATGAAAGAGAGTACATACAGTTAATCACAGTAAAAGCTAAGCCCATAGTTATAGTACAGTAGGAAAGGTTTACAAGTTCCCCTTCAGACTGAAAGCAGGCCGAATTGGCCCCATTTTCCAGCACACTTCCAGTTTCCAGCCGCTGGAGCTATCCCCCTCTTTCTGCAACTTTTACAGCAACTCCATCCACTTATTAAAACACAGGGTATTCCAGGTGTACAGTCTAGCAGCTTAGGGTTGCGGCTTCACTGATAACGTCATCGTGGGGCATTAAATTACCCCCAAGGAACTGTCGGTTATCAGCAAAGGCCTTGTCAGGGACCCATCGTTGAAATAGGGGAATTTTTAAACTAAATACTACTGAATGTCTAGGAGAGAAACAGGCCTAAACACTCCAAGAAAGGTCCAACTCTACTGTCTAGAATTGAAGGTGATGATTGCAGTGGTCCAGTTCATGCATTCCACCAGGATGTGCCATGGCCAAGGAGGGCGCTTGGACAGATGAAGCTGCAATACAGGAAAAAAGGAAGAGGGAACATGCAGTTGAAAGTTAGGCTAACAAATAAACCAAAATTTGAGAGAGAAGTAGAATGAAGCAAAATGATGAAAAAGTTGTCCCTATGTCCTCCAGCAGTCCAAGCCTATGACAGCATAACTATAGAGATACAGTAGCTCAGGATACCCTGAGCCACTATAATTATAAGGTTTGTGAAAAAAGAAGGTTTTAAGTCTTGGCTTAGAAGTAGACAGGGTGTCGGCCTCATGAACTAAAAGTGGTTGGT